ATGCCTATTATGTTTCTACAGTTGAAATATTATCATTATTATTATTACTATTATTATTATTATTATTATTACTATTATTGCAGTAAAGCATATTACTGTTACTATTACAATACGCCATTGTTATTAATTAAAAAATAATCTTGTAATTTAAGTGGTTTTAAGGTGTCTGTGCATTGGATTTTATTGCCGGCATGAAGTTTTTTAGAAAGGCTCAGTCATTGGGCACAGGATGAAAAGCCTGATTAGTTGTTTCCAGCTATACTTGCTTTTGTCACTCATAGCATAATGCTGTACATGTAATAGCAGTCTACGTTGTATTATAAGAATTACATTATACTGAATTACTTCCTGATGTTCACAAAAACTCTTGCTTTTACTATTATGCTACTTTACTTAATACCCTGAAATTATTACTATTGTCCCAGGGTGTTGTGTCTGTGCACCATATGGTTTGTGTCTCTGTGCATAAGATTTACAAGCAGCCATCAATCATGCAGTCTAAGCTAACTTGCAATGTGGTATTATAATAATCCTTATAGCTGTTTATGCATCTTGTAATAGTATACTGAATAATTCGCAATCTTGACATGTACGTGTGTCATTAATAAGTACTTAAGGGTGGAAATTTACACAATATCTCATTTTGATATCACAATAATTACTAATAATTGTGTTCATCAAAGCTGTTACAATAATAATGATCCTTTGTAATGGTTCCTAGCCTAGAAAATCAAACAGTACATGTAACTTAGTCTGGATTAGTAGAGGTACCTTTTACACCACACTTGTGCTAAGGGTTACGATATTTAATTACATGTACCACTCACATGTATAGTAAGAAATGAATCTATTCTCTTAGCTGCAATATTACTCATGATTATCATGATAGTTAGTAAATACTGATATATTGCCCATCCTTATTGGTACTGCATTTCTCTATTCTCATTGTTGTGTTCCTTGACCCCTATTCTTGTATATCTTAATTTGTCTTGTATTGACATTTCTTCCTCTCTTTTGCCTTCCTCTCCTTCTAGTATATGTACATATACATCTAACTTTTACTCTTTCTCTTTTCTTCCTATATTGGATTCTCCTATCTCTTACGTTCTTTGTCTTCTTGTGTATAATACAGTTCCTTACTGATACCATAAGCTTATGTTAACTCATGTACGTCAATGTCATGTTTTTAAATTATTTATTATTATAGTACAGTTTTGGATCACAAGACGCATTGCGTGTGAAGAATCAAGATTCCATGAAATCCACTTGCTATTTATGTCCGGCAAAAGATGTGTGAGCAGAACTATCCTAACAACATGATGGTAAGACACAATTCACAATACAGTGCATGTTTTATTCAGTGCATGTACACATGTACCAGACTTGGGTCAAATACAAATAGTATTTGTAATTAGTCGTATTTAAATACTTTTGAAAGTATTTGTGTTTGTATTTGTAATTTGAGTTTTTGTAACAGGAAGTATTTGTACTTCAATGTGAATGAAGATGCTGTTTGAGTGACAAAACTTTGAAACACTAACGTTCAGTAAATGCAATACATGACTATAACTAAATATTATTGATTATACATGCATGCAT